AAGGGGATGATTATCCTAATCCTATAATGATTAGGATAACTACAACATATGGATAAATACAAGGGAGGATAATGACAAGTCTTGGCCGCCTGGTATGGATAAGGATAAGGTGCTTGTCGCCTGGTCTTGGACTGAAGTGAGACTGATGTGGTCTGGTCCATTTCCGGATATGTCCCAACCATCATTTCTCAACATTATGATCTTTTGACCTTATTTATTTATTTTTAATTCATTTCTTGAGTAAAAAAAAAAAGTGGTCCATTCTAATTTCCCTTTTCTTTTCTTAACCCCTCTTGGTCCATTCCAGAATTTGATCCGAATATATTCAAGTTCCGAAGAATATAGACGAAACAAATCAAATCACCAAACGATGGAAGAAAACAAGACGACGGAGATGAACGAGAATCTGATAAACTCCTTCCTCGAGATCACATCTTCATCAAGAGACGAAGCTACTTTCTTCCTCGAAAGCCACCGTTGGGATCTAGACTCCGCCGTCTCCACCTTCCTCGACAACGACGCTTCAGCCGCCGTTGCCGCCAACGATCTCCCAACTGGTCCAAACCCTAACTTACCCCCTCCTTCGATTCCCGCCGCATCGGCTTACTCTCCGTCTGAATCCTCTCCTCGCTCGCGATCTCCTTCTCCGCCTTCCCGCGACGCTCCTTACCGTCTCCGATCGAAAGCCGAGAATCAAGGAGCTTCAGGGAGCCGTAACACTAGGAGCCGTCAACAAGCTGGGAACATCCGTACCTTCGCCGATTTGAATCGTTCCCCCGCTGACGGCGCGGATATTGATTCTGATGAAGGGCAAGAGTACTACACTGGTGGACAGAGGAGGTTAATAGTTTGCTTATCTTTCATTATTTAGCAAATCATGTTAATATAGTGAAACTCATCTTATTCAAAGGCTGTAGAATTGTGCTATTTGATTGCTTAATCATGTTGTAGGAATGATCATATTTCAATCTTGGACATGTTTAAAGCTTTATATTCATTGTTTGTGCTAATGGTGTTTTTTTCTTTTTGGATTGTGCCTTGTGTTTAGTGGGATGATGGTTCAAGATCCTAAGAAACCAAAAGATGTTGATGCACTCTTTGAGCAAGCTAGGCTGTCAGCTGTGGACAGACCTGTTGAGCCATCAAGATCAGCTTCTACAAGCTTCACTGGAGCTTCTAGGATGTTGTCTGGTGAACCTGTTCCCTCTGCTCCTCAGCAGCAGCTACAAGAGCAGCCTCAATTGGTTATGCACACCATCACTTTCTGGAGCAACGGTTTCACCGTTAATGATGGTCCTTTAAGGAGGTTCGAGGACCCTGAAAACGCTACCTTTATGGAGGTATTATCCAAATCAGAGTTTTATACAACACCATAGAACTCAAATTGATTAGAATAGGAATCCTTATCATAAATGTTATATCTTTGCAGAGCATTGCGAGGTCAGAGTGCCCCCGTGAACTTGAACCAGTAGATAGGAACATTCGTGTTCATGTCGATCTTGTCAAGCGTGAAGACAGCTACACTGTAACTCTCATTCCCTGCTCTCGTTAGTACTATAGTTCACCTGTCAAGGTTTTTTTACTCTGTATCTCTTGACTCGCAGGAACCACCAAAGCCCAAAAATTCATTCCAAGGTGTAGGAAGAACTCTAGGAGCAAGCGGATCCGGATCAGCTGCAGAACCACAAGCTCCACCCGCACAAATGAACACAGCCCCAGCACCATCAGTAGGGCTAGTTGTAGACCAAGCAGCACCAACTACTTCGATCCAGCTAAGATTGGCCGACGGAACACGCCTTGTATCCAGGTTCAACAACCACCACACAGTGAGAGACGTGCGTGGGTTCATCGACGCTTCAAGACCCGGTGGGTCCAGAGAGTACCAGTTATTAACCATGGGGTTCCCTCCTAAACAGTTGACAGACTTGGACCAAACTATCGAGCAAGCTGGTATAGCTAACTCGGTCGTCATCCAGAAGTTCTAGGTTTATTCAAATTTAAGACACCCCATTCAGTTTATGTCAGCTCTTTCCTCCTTTTTTTGAAGTGTTTGAGAACCTTTATCCATTGACTTAACTATTTGGTCAACGTCGGTAGGATTTGGATAATTTGAGAGAATCATAAAAACCACTTTTCTTCTTTTATTCACTTTCTTAGTCATTTTCTTAAGCTTCTACAGTTTCATTTTATATTTCAAAGTTTTGACAACTTGTTTCTCAAACCCTAATATAATAAAACTACTTATTTTCAAAGTTTGAATTACAAATTCAATATGAATTGCTGACTCAACTAACTACCGTATCGATTAGAATAAAGCAAATAATATGAGTTTGGGACTCGTGAATTGACGAGTAGACCAGTTGCTGCTTAAACTCCACACACATATACACTTCCATAAATCAAGGGGTCAAAAAGGTAAATAGAAGTACCTGCCCATCTGTCGATTCTCATTTTTCTTGTTATCTTCAAAAAAACTTTTTTTTTTTGAACACCACTTCAAAAAAACTTTATATTTTGTAAATTAATTAGTTTTCTCTGTTAATCGAAATCCGAAGGAAGCCAGAGATTTTTACAGTCGAGAGGGATCTATTTTTGTTCCATTACAACCTTAAAAATCTTCATGTAGTGTTCTGTATATTCCCAGATTTCTTTTTAGATTATCGTGCTGTGCCTCATTGCCGTGTCCCCTGGCGTTCTCTCTCTCTCTCTTGCTCGATTCAAGTTGAAAGAGAAAGAAAATAAAGTTGCGGGCTCCTTTCTTAGGCTTCGAATGGCCAGATCTCTCTCTACTCATCTGCCTAATTGTAAGCTATTTCATATGTCTCCCAAGCTTACATCTTTTTGTTCTTTATTGTTTCTGCTTCCTCGGTTTTCAACATTTGATTCGTGTGTATGCAGGGCTATTTAATGATTAGCTTTTTTTTTTTATATATTTTTCAATTAGAAACAGGAACATGAGTTTAACTGGTTCACACGACACAAGTGTTGAAAACTCTTGAATCTTGTGGCGAAGTAGAGCAAAAACAAACAAGAGAGTGTCGGGAGATAATTAGGGTTTTCTAGTAGATATGATCAAGCAGATATTTGGGAAAATACCCAAAAAAACTTCCAAATCATCACATCCAAACGGAGAAGGTGGTGTTAATTCGCATCACACCCCTCCTCCTACCTCAAATGGCACTATTGCTCCTTCCTCAAACAGATCCAATGGGGTTTATGAAGCTTTCCCTAGCTTCAGGGATGTTCCCACCTCGGAGAAGCCCAATCTATTCATCAAGAAACTCACCATGTGTTGCGTCGTGTTCGACTTTACTGACCCTTCCAAGAATCTCAGAGAGAAAGAGATAAAGAGGCAGACTTTACTTGACCTCGTAGACTACATGGCCACCGTTTCCACAAAGTTCACCGATGCTGCAATGCAAGAGATTGCGAAACTTGCAGTGGTTAATCTCTTCAGGACGTTTCCTTCTGCTAATCACGAGAGCAAGATCCTGGAAACTCTTGATGGAGACGATGAGGAGCCAGCTTTAGAGCCTGCTTGGCCTCATCTTCAACTTGTCTACGAGCTTCTCCTCAGATTTGTGGCCTCCTCCATGACTGATGCCAAGCTTGCTAAGAGATATGTAGACCATTCTTTCGTGTTGAAGCTCTTGGACCTGTTTGACTCTGTAGACCAGAGAGAAAGAGAGTATCTGAAGACCATTCTCCACCGGATATACGGTAAGTTCATGGTGCATCGACCTTTTATCAGGAAGGCTATCAACAACATCTTCTACAGGTTCATCTTCGAAACAGAGAAGCATAATGGCATTGCGGAGTTGCTTGAGATTCTTGGAAGTATAATTAATGGTTTCGCTTTGCCCTTGAAAGAAGAGCACAAGCTCTTCCTAATCCGGACTTTGATACCACTACACAGACCTAAATGTGCTGCGGCTTATCATCAACAGCTTTCTTATTGCATTGTTCAGTTTGTAGAGAAAGACTCCAAGCTTGCTGACACCGTCATTAGAGGTTTACTAAAGTATTGGCCTGTGACCAACAGTTCTAAGGAAGTTATGTTCCTTGGTGAGCTGGAAGAAGTCTTGGAAGCAACACAAGCAGCTGAGTTTCACAGATGTATGGTGCCTTTGTTCCGTCAAATTGCCAGATGTCTCAACAGCTCACACTTTCAGGTGCGGTTCTGAATTTGTGATTGTGTAATAATGGTAAGAGTTGCTAGATTCAATCGTGTTTCTGTTTTTTTTTTTTTTTTTTGTCTTTGTCAGGTAGCTGAAAGAGCTTTGTTTCTATGGAACAACGATCACATAAGGAACCTGATTACTCAAAACTATAAAGTTATAATGCCAATCGTGTTCCCGGCAATGGAAAGAAACATGTGTGGCCATTGGAACCAAGCGGTAAAGAGTCTGACTTTGAATGTGAGGAAAGTATTGGCGGAGACAGACCAAGCTCTGTTTGATGAATGTTTAGCCAAGTTCCAAGAAAATGAAGCGAACAAAACCGAGGTTGTGGCGAAACGAGAAGCAACGTGGAAGCTTTTGGAAGAATTGGCAGCTTCCAAATCCATAGGCAGCGAGGCAGTGCTCGTCCCAAGGTTTTCATCGGTTACTCTTACCTCAGGGAAAACTCCTGGTAGTTGAACACTTTCTCTGCTCTTTGTTTATCAACATTACTTTCAAAAGATCAAGTAGAGTTGTAATCGACCTATTCGACCATCCAGATTGGTCACTGAAAGGGGAAACCAAAGCGTGATGATCGAAGGATTGGATGTATCATCTGGATTCAGGGTTTTTTTTAAATTGTTACTTGATTCTGATCTCTTTTATATTGTCAACTCTTAGAGGTGAAAGAACTATGTGGTGTATGAAATATGGTATTATAGATATAGTTCTTTGGAGGAATGCTATTAGTATTGTACTCTGGAATGAAACTGATCTATAATTGTGACGTTATGTTTTTGGAAAAAAATGCAGATGGATGGTATAAACAGTTATTGACACAAGTCTTATTTTCCTATTAAATTCATTCGAAATTATTGTTTCTTTGTTCTTAGCCAGTGAGTGGTTTTCAATGACATTTGTCAAGGACAACACAAAAAGCCAACTTAGTTTTACAAAGTCAACTTGTTTATCTGTTTGCATCTCCTGGGTTGTAACCTGTTAGCATGACGTTTGTTCAAAGATTGTTCAAAGATTCTTTGCTGCTGCCAAAAGGACTTCTAAATTAACCCAATTTGCAAATAGTATATTTCTTTTTTTTTGGTATTATATATTGCAAGGTTGAACATGTCCCGAATTTTATTTAAAGGTAATCATCTAAACCAAATTTTATGTAAAATAAAATCAACTTTATATTTTTTAAAGTATATATTTGTAACCAGACTTGAAATGATTGAAATATTCTTGTACAAAAATTCATTATATTTTTTTTCAAAAAAAAAAATTCATTAAATTTTAAAACTGATTATATCGCGTTTTCTATTTTTTTTTTTTTGTTCTTTATGTTTCACAGAAGTTGGATCTATCAAGTAACCTGTTGGCATGACGTTTGTTCAAAGATTCCTTGTTGCTAAAAGGACTTCTAAATTAACCCAATTTGCAAATACTATATTTCTTTTTCTTGGTATTATATATTGCAAGGTTGAACATGTCCCGAATTTTATTTAAAGGCAATCATCTAAACAAAATTTTGGATATGTTAATAACGAAAAACTTAATTTGTAGAAAAATATACTTGTAACTAGATTTGAGACGCTCTTTTTTATATTAGAATATTATTATTGTAGAAAAATAAGTTTGAATCATGGGCATACGACACCAACCCAGGGTACCAACACTTTGATACATATATTCATTATCTTTTACTAAATAAAACTTAGCATTAACTTTGTAGGTCTTAAATAAGTTTACTCTAAAATGATAAAATCGTATTAATTTATTGTTTTCACTATACTCTTTCTGAATTAGAAAATAATAATTTAGAAGTATCTTTTATTTTTATATTTCCTGGACAACAAATGACATTTATTTTAGGCAAATGAAATTTATGACATTATCACGTTATTCTCTTTTGTGTGTAAGAAATCATAAATAATTAAAAATAATAATTGAGAATCTACTACTATTGATAAAAAATATTATAAAAATCAATAATGCTTTCCCTTTCTTCTCTCAGATTGAATAATTAACAACTATAAATAATATTGAAGAGACTATAACAAATATATAAAGGGGTCAAAAGACTTATAACCCACGAAGAACAAGAACGAAACACAAACACCAAAGTCAGAAAGAGATCGTTCTTATGGAAACACAACTCTCAAACGCAGACGCTGATTCCCTCCAGCTGCTCCTAAATTTGAGCCTCGGTGCTAAAGACAACACAGCCAAAATCGTCAACGGAACACGACCCGCAATCTCCACCAATCCACACCAGCCTTTGGGCATCGAGTTCGTGGAGAAGATCTTGGACTATAAGTTCAAAGACAAGAGTCTGCTGTTGCAAGCGTTCACAGACGCTACTTTCGATGAAAACTGCGTTTCGTATGAACGCCTAGAGTTCTTGGGAGATACGGTCTTAAACATGGTTATAACCAAATATTTATATAATCGTTACGGGGAATGTTCCCCAGGTTTGCTGACCAATCTCCGAGCGGTCAACGTTGATACCGAGAAACTTGCCCGAGTCTCTGTAAAACACAATCTCCATCGCTGCCTCCGTCATAAGAAACCCTTGCTTGAGGACCAAGTAAGTCTCTTTCTTAAAGCCCTAGTAATTGCTAGTGTTTCCTATTTGCTCTTTACTTTCCCAGTTTCCACTAATTATCTTCTGATCTCATGTTAAATTACTATTGGTTGATTGCATTATTAGGGATGAATACTTATTCACGTCAATTATGTTCTATGCACGACTTAGTCTTCCATTGATTGCATGTACTTTTCAATTTTTCATTTATGATTTTCAGAAGTATAATATTATAACCAATTAAATTCTGGTCCGAAATCACTAACAACACATTCCATTATTCAGTTTCATTCGCCGTATTAGTTGATATTTTGGCTGTGGTTTTTAAACATCTGCATTTCATTACATTGACCAGAATGTTCTCCATGGAGAATTTGTACAATGCATCTAGAAACATCACAACTGGGTATGATTGCTATCTGGCCAAGAGATCTGGTTTCTTGTTGTGGGTTCTGGAATCCATTGAATCCAAACTGTGAACTTGTTGTCAGGCTTTTGATATTTTATATCCAGTTATGAACTTTGAAGTTCATCATATCACCATTAACTAGTTTACTCACAGATTATTTGTCTCCTTAGAAAATTAACAGTTCATGTCCTTGTCTATGCCATACATCTAAAGTAAAAATCATATGCTGACAACATTCTCAAGAAAAAGTTTGTATATTTGGGTGTTTATTTTTGCTCAACGTTGTGTGTGTGTTAAACATATATGTATATATATGAAGGCGGATCATGTGAAAGACTTAATACATGCAGATACTTGAATTTTCAAAAGCAATTGAAAATTATCCGTTACATTCGCGTGGTCTATTGAAAGTCCCTAAATCTCTAGCAGACATAGTAGAGTCTACCATTGGAGCTCTCTACACCGACTGTGACTCATTCGAGACTGTGTGGAAGGTAACTGTATCTATGCATTATATCTTTCACAATTATTCTTAAGTTATAGTATTTACTAATCGATGAATTTTGTCTGATATCATAAATATGTATAGGTGGTAATGCCATTGTTGGATCCAATTATATCTTTAGATAAACTGGAGAACCATCCAATGACAGAACTCCATGAGATGTGCCAGAAGAAAAACTTGAAATTGAGGTTCGATGACAGTACTTGGGAAGTTAATAAAAACGTTCTTGTCTTTATTAATGATCATTTGGTTGGACGTGGACATCATTTTGCCAAGAAAGACAGTGCTAAAAATTGTGCTGCAAAAAATGCCCTCGACAATTTTTCTTATTTCTTTACAAAGATTTGATATCATATATAAAGAATATGTATGAAGATTATTTTCTCTTGAAAAGATTGTATTGTTTCTTTTGTAATTGAATCAACATGAATGAAATAACCACACTCTATAACGCATGCATGCCAAAATTATAAAAATTGTTTCTTTTGTATTTGACATGGCGTTATCCATAAGGCCATGCCAAAATTATATAAAACTAAAAATAACAATTGCTTGTATATTGGTTAATTTTTTTAAGCAAAACATGTTCATTTTTCTGAAGTGAATTTATAACACACATGTGATAGATTTCCCAACCATAAATCTTTTATCTAATTATATCTGAAACCCTATATTTCCCTGTATTTCCCACCAATTTTAGAAGAGTTCTAGTGAAATATGGTTCAACTCATTTTCCAAGTATAAATTACTTTATTTGTTTAATGTATTTTTAACTGTAATTAAAATTAATTTAATTTGTTTAATTTTTTTATTTGTTTATTTCACTAATTCATTTTAAAAATCATGCTTATTAATTATTAAAATTTTATAGCAGATTATTATTTTTCTTTCTTTTAATGTTTATTTTAGTTTAACTATAATAGTTAGAATTAGAAAAGCTCAATGATTTTAATAAATTTATAAGTAATAAGTTGCTAAGTTTGATCCATTCTAACTGAAAATATATTTAAGTTAGGTAGACTGCATAAAAATTTAATAGTGATCATTATTTAAAATTATACATATTTTTTTAGTCTTAAATATATTGAATTTAATAAGTTCTATTTTAATTTTGTCACAATTCTATTTTGTTTATTTAAAAATCACCTTTATTTTGAAAATGTATTTTCTCTACGTGTTTTTTTTTTAAAAAAAGTTTTTACTTTTGTTGTAAACTTATAGTCACTTTTTTTTCTATTGTGAATTGGTTGGTGATGTAATACTACTGCATATTTACTGTAAAATTTTATTTCTTATTATGATTCCCAAAAGAAAGATACATAAGAAAAATATATTACGAAGAGGAATGTGAATGTGAATTCTTGATCACATTATTGCATGATTTGAATATACCAGATTAAAGTCATCAAATCTACTAATGGATTATTTGTTGCAAAAGAAGAAGGCATGATACCACAGCAAGAACATGAAGACTTCACTTTCCCCTTACTGATATGAGCCTCGTTCTCTATCCAAATTGTGAGATATTAGTTAACCAAAAATATTAATCAACATAACCATAGAAAAAGCTCTATCCTTTCAGAGAAAGGAGCAGTACCTCCGTTTTTTTTCATGTGTAGCCGTCAAAACTACTGACGTATAGTATTTTTATATGTTTTTAGCTATTTATTTGATCATTTAAGTGTCTAGGAGTTGCATTAGATGTCATTAGGCATTTCATTTGTACAAGTTGCATGAAAAGGGGGTTGAAAAACACAATTATAAGTTCTAGGGCCATTTTGAGGATTTTACTGCAATAAACCAAAGTTTTGGGGTCAAGCTGCAATCTGTTAAAAGCTCAAGGATCAAAATTGCAAAATATCATAAAGTAGCCATTGATGTGTCGTGTCGTGAGTTGCAAAGCACTCGACGTGAAGAACCCATATCCTAAATCCGTTATGCTCGACCTCTCCAGCACAATCCAAACGCCGATCTAAACAATCTGAGAGTTCCCATCAATCCATTAGCACATATGTGGTTTGCTCGCTTCGTCTCCCTCGATTCAAAGCTTGAAGCTTCCGGTCCGTAAAGAACCAAACGACCAACATACAAAGATTGGAGTACTCGGTTCTACTATCTCGACCCAACCTTGTGTGGGAACCGAAATCCACCTACTGCCAATAAATCGTAAAAAAGGAAACTTCGGGAAAATCCTAAGTTTCCAAAGGAACCGGCTATCTGCAGAACCACACAACGAAGATTAAGAAAATGATAAACTTAGAATTTAAAAGAGAATAAACGAGATTGAGAGCAAAGATGTTCTTATTCCGAATCTGCGTAAGAACTGGTACAAAAAGAGTAGCCGAAAACTTAAGAACGAAAAACCCTAATTGAGACGCAGCTCGCTAACAGAAAACAGAAATATTCCTAAATGCTAATTTTGGTGGTGAGAGCTCTGAAAATCGTATCCCAGCTTCTGCCCTATGCCTCCTCCTTATATACTCCTCCTTAGGCGGTTCTGACCTTTCCATTTTGCCCGAAACCGAATATATCGGGAACTTTCCATATCTGTAGATCCTTCCTTTTCTTCCGCGGAAATCTTCTATTTATCTTCAAACTTGCCTTTTATCTTCCGTCTGCGAGTAAACCGTCAAAACGTTATCGTATCTTCGGGTTTGATTTCATTAATGTCGCGAGATGGGTTTTTATCGTGTTTTAGGACCTTCCGGGCCATTTTACGATAAAAACCGTTTTACGACTTTATACGAGACTGTTTCCTGATCCGATGCCGTTTTAACGATTTTCTTGACCGTTTTTATTAAAAATGCATTTTTTATAATCTTAAGGAAGAATCTCGGATAAATCGTATAGTTTAGGCGATGTTCGGTGTTTTACTTAACCGTTGCAGTTTTATACGATTTCTTCGAGTTCTTTTCGGGAAAACGGAGTTTTACGGTTTTTATCGTAGAATTCAGACGATAAGTCGGATCGAGACGAAACGAGAGACATTTTGGCCGTGGTTCAGAATGTGACCGTGTCGAAGGACGTAAGGTTCGAATCGGGGCCGCGGGAGATCCGGGAGATCTCCGGCTTAGTTTGCCAGCAGGCGAACTAGCCGAGGAGGTCCTAGTTCGCCTGCTGGCGAACTAAGCCGGGCTGGCGAACTAAGCCGGGCTGGCTTAGTTCGACAGCAGGCGAAGTAGCCATGGGGTGCCTAGTTTGCCAGCAGGCGAACTAGTCCGGGACCGTCTAGTTCGCCTGCTGGCGAACTAAGCCAGCTTGGCTTAGTTCGCCAGCAGGCGAACTAGTTGATGAGCCTCTAGTTCGCCTGCTGGCGAACTAGTTGCGACTAGTTCGCGCTTCGTGGCTGTTTTGGTTTTTCGCGGTTTTGTAAAACGATCTTCGAGTTTTATAAAACGGTCTTCGAGTTTATAAAACGGCTTCTCGAGTTTTATAAAACGGTTTTCGAGTTTTATAAAACGGCTTCTTGAGTTTTATAAAACGATCTTCGAGTTTTATAAAATGGCCTCTCGAGTTTTATAAACGATCTTCGAGTTTTATAAAACGGTCTTCGAATTTTATAAAACGGTCTTCGAGTTTTATAAAACGCTTCTCGAGTTTTATAAAACGGCTTCTCGAGTTTTATAAAACGATCTTTGAGTTTCATAATACGGCTTCTCGAGTTTTATAAAACGATCTTTGAGTTTTATAAAACGGCCTCTCGAGTTTTATAAAATGATCTTCGAGTTTTATAAAACGGTCTTCGAGTTTTATAAAACGGTCTTAGAGTTTTATAAAACGGCTTCTCGAGTTTTATAAAACGATCTTCGAGTTTTATAAAATGGCCTCTCGAGTTTTATAAAACGATCTTCGAGTTTTATAAAATGGTCTTCGAGTTTTATAAAACGGTCTTCGAGTTTTATAAAACGGCTTCTCGAGTTTTACAAAACGATCTTCGAGTTTTATAAAACGGTCTTTGGTTTTTATAAAACGGCTTCTCGAGTTTTATAAAACGATCTTCGAGTTTTATAAAATGGCTTCTCGTTTTATAAAACGACTTCCTAGGTTTCATAAAACTATTCTTTTTTGCGGGGAATTTTGGCTATTGATTCCGTCGTACCGATTTTGACCCCAACAGTTAGCCCCCCAGCTCGTAAGAATCGTGTGGTTCTTGCAAGTGGATTGAGTCTGTTTGGCGAGTTTGGTAGAATTAGGTGGAACTTTAATGGCCAAAAGTCCAAGGGTGAATAGTAAAATTCTTCCTTATAAGTAGATGGAGTAAAATTTTGAATTCTTTACCCCATTTTCTACAACTTATCCAAGAAACTTTTCTCTCTACTTTCTTTGGGGATCTTCAAACATGTTTTCAGGAAGATGGACTCGTTCCTCAACTAGATCCAGTTCTCGCAATTCTGAGGGAACGAGCTCGCAGCCTCCAGTTTCAGCTCCGAAAGAAGAATATTCGTCCCCTTTAATCGATCCGACGGACCGTGAGGCTTTTTGGGCGCTGGGAGATGAGTCGAGATCCGCTAGGCCTGGGACTTGGGTTCCAGCTTTGTCGGACGTCGATCAAACTTCCGGATATCCGAGCTCGGCTCTTTTTAACAGTATCGATTACATGTGCGAATTTTGCCGAGTTCCAGAGGCTGTCGAGTTTCGTCTCCCACTTTCCGGGGAGGGCGACAAGGATGCGCCCGAGGGTTTTTTCACATGTTACAACATTTTCTTGCAACAATGCCACTTATGGTTTTCGATCCCGGAAATCATTGTTCATTACCTTCACAGGCTGGGGTTATCGATCAGTCAGCTGACTCCCCCTGGTTTAAAGCAACTCGTTGGTCTCCTGACGCTGAGTTATGAGCAGGGAATTACCCTTAACGTTGATCATCTCGAGAGTCTGTTGAAGCCTACAGGAAATCGCAGAGGATCACTCTATGCCCTCATGATGAAATTATTACGGGCTGCTCAACGCTCTCTACTTCTTGGAAGAAAATTTCTTCTACGTTCGTATCGACAGTGCGTCAGTCGAGGAGGGTTGCATTCCTCTTTTTACGACCACGTGGGGTCGGAAAGGTATGTGAATCGAGTTCGTACGAATCTTCTTCCTCTTATTATTATTATTTTTTATTCGTTTCTGTTTTCCCGCAATGACCAACCCTTTGCCTCCGTATCCCGCGGATCTTCAGAACATCACCACTTCTCTCAAATGTGGTGAAGTTGGTTGGTGCAGGTTTTCTCCGCAACGCGTCCGCCAAGCGGTTGCCCTCTTCTGATCTTGACTCTTTGCGGATTCTCCGATTTATGAAGAGGATCCGTTTATCGGGGAGTTTATTCCGTATGTTCCCTCGATGAGGAGTGGCAAGTCAAGCTTCCGAAGGGATAAAAATCCGGTTGTCGAAGATGACGACTCTGAACGCGCGGCTTCTCCTGACAATATTCTCAAGCATTTCCTTTA